ATCCTCAGTACGGTGTAGAGAAACTTGTAGGAACAAACTACAAGTATTGGAGGATGTGCATGGAGGCTTACCTTCAAGGTCAAGATCTGTGGGATCTAATTGATGGTGACGATGCAGAAATTCCAGCAGATACTAAAGAAAACGTCGAGCCACGAAGGAAGTGGAAGATCAAGTGCGGGAAAGCTCTCTTCGCCTTGAGGACATCTATCGGTAAAGAGTACATTGACCACGTTCGGGATGTTAGCTCTCCAAAAGAAGTCTGGGAAATACTTGAGAGGATTTTTACCAAGAAGCATACAGCAAGGCTACAATTGCTGGAAAATGAATTGGCGGCACTCACGCAAGGAGGTATGCAATGTTGGAAAAACCGATAAACGGTGTTTTTCATTTAATATAATCAGAATGTTACAACTTAAATAGAAAACTAAGTAACAAATTTATCCTAATTTTAAGGAACACTAACCCACTACTAACAACTAACTAAGTATCCTACAATCACGGGATACTATTTTGACTAGTTATTTTACTAAACTAATATTAATCATTTAATTATCTAAACAATAAATCTAATATTTTAACACCCTCCCTTAAACTGATTTCTGCGGAAAACAGTTTACAATGAGATTTATTGTTCTCCTTTGATATATTCATTTGCGAAAGAACATATATCAAATTCCTCACATTGAGAACCAATGCTTCAAACACTCCAACTCGGGCGAACGCCAATTTTCCGAACGCCTCTTTCCGCCAATCTTCATTGATTGACAATTCATCAATTTTCGACGAACGCAACTTTTCGAACGTCTCCCTCAGTCAATCTTCACTAATTGACAAAATGATTTCTTTTACTCAAGAAATCTATTAGCTGCTGCTAATATCACCACTTCTAATTCAAAAGAAGTATTCCACAATGTTTTCATCCTCAAACATTGTATTCATCAGCTACAGCTGATTTCAAACTTTTCCGTACTCTCATCAACCACTTCTGGCTCGAATCCTCCTAGAGGACTGAGATGCTGCCTGCTGCCTGCCACCTAAAGCTTCCAATCGTAATTCGCCGCCTCGAATCTTCTAACCTCCCCGCCGAGTTTGCCAAACGTGTTGTCCTTTGCCGAGTGTCGCCTCGTCTGTATCGGATTTGGCCTTGGTTGCCTCGACGGTGTGGCCCTCCCCTCGCAACGCTGTTGAAAAATGAGAAGATCGCCTCATGATCACCTCGATTTCTTCATCGGCCATCGTCATATTATTGAAAACAAAGACTCTATCACCAAGGCTGTCTGTCGCCTGTGCCTTTGGCGCAACCATTCTGTTAATGTCATTCTTATGCCTTGGATAATGAAACCCAATCCAAACCTTGTCGAGAGCCTCCGCTGCTACTTCCGCTGATGCTTCTACTACTTTCGTAGCCTCTGACGGGGTAAGATTCGCTGTGCTTGGTGCAATACACAGAGGCTCCGTCAGGATCAGTCACATTTGCTGCCTTAGCACGTCCATCGTCATTGCCGTGCGGCAACGTCAACTCCGCCATTTTTTCCTTCGACGAGTCTGCTGAAAGCCCATATTTGATGGCTGATAAGGTCAAATCGTAAACATCTTAATGTTGTTGCTGATTCAACACTGAATCTCGTCGAAATCCTACGATGTTGGATAATCTACTAAATCGTAAAATCTCAATTCAAAGACAGAGATCTGTTTGAACATGGCTTAAGTTTTCAATTATCGAAGTATGAAAAGCTTCTGCCATTCTCATGAATACTCACTCACGATGACTTTTTTTTTTTTTCTTTTTTTTTCTTTTTTTTTTTTTTTTTTGTTAAACTCACTTCTCAACTCTCATGCTCTAGAGAAGATACGATAAAAGAAAAAAAAATTACACAAGAAATAAAAGAGTTGGATCACAGGTCAGGATCCAAGCTCTGATACCATGTTGGAAAAACCGATAAACGGTGTTTTTCATTTAATATAATCAGAATGTTACAACTTAAATAGAAAACTAAGTAACAAATTTATCCTAATTTTAAGGAACACTAACCCACTACTAACAACTAACTAAGTATCCTACAATCACGGGATACTATTTTGACTAGTTATTTTACTAAACTAATATTAATCATTTAATTATCTAAACAATAAATCTAATATTTTAACATGCAAATCTCGGAGTATTTCTTGAAAGTTAAGAGCATTTGTGCTGAAATTTCAGAACTAGATCCGGATGAGAAGATCAGTGAAGCACGTATTCGTCGCTTCCTCATTCGCGGTTTGAAGAACGAGTACACGCCGTTTATAATTTCCATACAAGGATGGCCAAAACAACCCTCCGTTGAAGAGTTAGAAAATTTGCTTTCTAACCAAGAGGCTTTGGCAAAACAAATGGCGAAGAGTTCTGATCTAGATGCTGTTCTCTTCTCAAGAGGAAAATTCAACAAAAATTTTACCTCACCTGGGAACAAAAAGAATGAAGGTCGCTTTACTTCGGAAAGAGTTGGTGGTGAAAATTCACATAGTAACAATCCCAAGAAATGTTACAGATGTGGAAAGCTTGGTCACATAAAGAAGTATTGTCGTGTGAAACTTTCTAATGCTAACATTGCATGTGAAAATGAAGGATCTGATCGGACAAATTGGGAGCAATGCTTTACTACACAACTAGTTGAACGAAGTGATAAAGCTACTCAATCGACGTCAAATCAAGATTCCGTCAACCACGCTTGTCAAAAGGAGGAGTGGATTATCGATTCGGGTTGCTCTCATCACGTCACCGGTGATGACTCGCTATTCTCTGAGCTACATCAACATGATGAGGAACGAGTTATTGTTACAGCCGATAACTCAACCTACCCAGTGGCGAAAGAAGGTGTTGTTGAAATATTTAGCGGCGAGTGTCCTAGTGCCAAAAACATCAGATTGGATGACGTTTATCTTGTTCCAGGTTTGACGAAAAATTTGGTTTCAGTTTCTCAAATCACGAAGACGGGAAAATACGTCTTGTTTGGTCCAGATGATGTGATGGTTCTTAGTAATGTGAAGAATATAGCAGCGGACGTTGTTCTCGCTGGTAAAAAGAAAGGCTCTTTATTTGTCTTGTCTGCAGGAGAGGCTTATGTTAAGAAAACAAGCCAAAGCGACAATGCAGCGATTTGGCATGCTCGATTGGGTCATTTAGGCTACCAACTGTTGCAACAAATTTCAACAAAGAAATTGGTAGATGGTATGCCAACGTTACAGAATGTTCGTGAGAATGTGGTTTGTCAAGGTTGTCAATTTGGCAAATCTCATCGTCTTCCTTACAAGAAGTCATCAAATCGTAGACAAACCATGTTCGAGCTGGTTCATTCGGATTTAATGGGCCCGACCAAAACACCAAGTTATAGTGGGAATCGTTATGCTATGATATTAGTAGATGATTGCTCAAGGTATACATGGGTAAAGTTTTTAAAGGAGAAGGGTGAAGCTTTATCGAAATTTATTGAGTTTAAGAGGGCTGTCGAGAAAGAGTTTGGAGCAAAAATCAAATGTCTTCGCAGTGACAATGGTGGCGAGTATATGTCAGATGATTTCTTTCAGTTTTGCGATAATAATGGTATTGCGAGACAGATGACATGTCCAAACACTCCTCAACAAAACGGACTTGCCGAAAGGAAATTAGCTCACCTAGCTTCCACGAGTCTTTCATGGTTGCACGACAAGAGTCTTCCGAGGGAGCTTTGGGCAGAAGCTATTCAGTGCGCATGTCACGTGATAAATCGGCTACCTCCTTGGCCAGGTAAAGAAAAATCACCTCATGAAATTCTCTATAATTCAAAGCCTAATGTGAATTATTTTCGGGTGTTTGGCTCTATTTGTTATGTTCACATTCCTAAATCTAATCGAACTAAACTTGATCCAAAAGCAAAGAAGTGTGTGTTTGTCGGTTATGATCCATGTAGAAAAGGATGGAAGTGTATGGATCCAGAAACACAAAAGTTCGTAACTTCTAGAGATGTTGTATTCGATGAGGTTTCATCGTATTATTCTGATAGAGAAGCTTTATTTGAAGATGTTCCTTTGATCGATCAAGGAAAGCTTCAGCCATTCCCCGAAGAAGAAGCAAAAGACCCGATCATTCCCATAATTGAAGAAAACACAGTTGATAATTCTGGTGAACATGAGGAGTCA